TAGGGAAAGTGAGTAGAGTATGCTTTCAGCATTAGTCTGGATGGTTGCTAGAGGGGTCCTAGAAATGGTTAACTAGAGGATCTGACATGACCTAAACCAGACAGCTGGAGAAAGCATGTCTTAATTAGTGGTGGTAGATTCAGATCTGATTCTGCTTTTTTCTGACTTACAGAACATATACGAATTATTTATCTTACATTGGTTGATTCTGTATTTTACAAGTGTGCATAATAAAAACAACCTGCTGCTCATTAACTGTTCTTAAGGCAAATGTTCACTTGCTGATCACTGTTTTTAATTAAAAAATGGGTGCATAAAGCCAGGTTTGCATTGTGTCTGCAGTTGTTCATACCGTGCATCACCAGCATCGTGTTTATAAGGTATCTTAAAGATAGGACTTAAACCCTGAAGCTAAAGCTTGAACATGACTTTTCGAAATGTTTCTACCTGCTGTGACTCAGAATGTTTGTTACTTGTAAAGGTGCCTAGTCCTTAGAGTAAATAAAGGCATAAGTAGTGTGTTCTTGGTCTCAGCTTCCTATAGTAGTGCATTGCAACGTAGTTACTCGCACTGGGGGGGATGCACCTTATGTTAATGTTGCTGCAATGATACTTCAAAGGTGTTTCTTGTTTATCTGTGAGCTACTAGTGTTGTCTTTGTTTAGTTTCAGTGCGCATTGTACAGATAACAGTTTATTCAGGTGAGGCTGTTCTCTTGCCATAGCCAGAAAAACTTGTTAATTAGACTTTATTATTACATTGAAGAGAAATCCTCAACAATGTTCATTTTCATCAACCCGATACCGAATAGATCACAAAACAACATGAAAAAGGAGGAGAAAACATTTTGTGATTAGGCTTTATTAAATACTTGTATTGGTTTTAACTGTCAGTGATACAGTAACATGCGGTTCTTACATTTATTGTACAGCCTCTTTTGTAAATCCAATTTGAATTATTTACAATGAATCATGAACATCCAAGAAAAGCCCAACAGATTTCACGACCTAAAGGCAAAAATAGACCCTGGTTTTAAGCCTGATCCAGTCTAAACCAGAAGGTTTTTGAGGTGCAGTTGTAAGAGTGTTTCTTAGTGATTATGAAATTTCTACAGCAAACTAGTTAACAAAGGAGATGTAAATGTTTGTAGATCAATGGAATAATGTAGCAGGAGGGGGTTGCTTTTCCTGCACAAACAGAACTGGGTTTTGTGTGGTGGCTGCAAGTTGATCACCAAGGAGCATGTTTCCTCTTCTGCCCTATCAGAGCTCTCATTAATAATTATGTGCTTTCAGTTAATTAAACTGGAACAACACAAAAGTAGACTTGCTTGGATAAGTAGCAAGAAAACATATTTGGACTGTGTTTGGAGAAGGATTTTATTCATTTTATCAGTAGAATCACTGATCCACCAAATCTTTATTCATGCGAGTGATCTTTGCACTTGCAAATAATCCTGTTGTAGCTCACCATCTATGAATGAAACTCTTGTCTGCATTAATATGCACTCTTTGTTTTAGTGACAGTAGGAAATAATCAAGAGTAAATGTTAGAAGGCATAGCTCCAATTAAAAAGACAAAGCCTTAAAAATTTTGCAAACTATATATATTCACACCCTCATTTCCAGATACAGTAGTCTTTAAAACAGAAAAAAATACTTTTATGCCAAATATTTTGCAGCCTCTCAAAGTCTCAAGTGAACACTGTGATGTGTCTTCATCATTTATTTTACATTGGTTCAGTATTGGTTAGACTCTAAATTTACCAAACGTGGGTTTAGTAACTCTCAGGCTAGAAGGGTGCCTCTATGTTGAATCTCAAAACACTGAATCTCCGTTCGTATGCAACTTTGTTGTTGTTGTTGTTGTTTTTAAGGGAAAGCAAGAAGAATATGCTGTTTTTACACTAAGTTGCTGTTCATACAATAGTCACCACTACCCAAAATGCTGAGGCTTGTGTTACGGCTGGAATGGTGAGCCAAATAGTTCAGGCTAAAGAATGGTGCAAGCTCTGTGTAGTACTCCTGACACCATCTCGTGTCCTTTGTATTGCAGTCACATAGGGCTAACTGCACTAACACTGTGTGGGAAGTGGTGTGGTGCCCTGGAGAGAGGATACAGTCCCCTCTTATGCTGCTGTAAATCTCTAGGAAAGAGTTCAGTTCCCTATCTACAATTTCCTTGTAGGTTTTCTCATTGCTCTGGATATATCCATAAAGAATAGGTTCTGCAATCTCATCAGCTCTGTAGGCTGTGTTTCTCACCCACCTTCTGTCCTCTTGGCTGCTCTGCAGATGGCCATCAGCTTTTTTCCTAGTGTAGCTGTTTGATAAGGTCCCACTGTCTTGTGCAGCCCTGTGGCCTCTAGACCTGGTAGGCACCACTGCCATGAGCTTTGACTGTGGATGTGGACAAGCAATGGCCGCTGCGGCCTTGGCAATGAGCAGGGCAGAACTGGGACTCGGCTTCTCTGTGAATGGGGGTTTGAGATGTAGGAATACCCAGCGTAAATATATAGGGATGCTTTAAGAAAATCACAACACAGCCTCATGTTGATAACCTCAGGCATTCTGCATCCCGTGTAGCACTGTTAAGGTATTACGTATGGCATGACAAACAGACTCATGTTCTGCCATCTCGCTGTCATCACAGGCTGGAACATGGTCACAAAAAGAGCACTACAAGGATATGACACTACAGTCACAAATGCAAAAATCAAAACTTTGTCAGGAAGTGAAGGCAATGGCAGCTTTAATGGTGTGGTTGAGAAAAGGCTGTCTAGAACACAGTAGAAAACCAGTGTAATTGAGCATTTAATTAGACTCTAAGTCTGAAAGTACAACCCAGATTGCTGACAAAGACTCTTGCTAGCAAGTGAAAAGGAAATCCTGCTGCTCTCTGCCACCCTTCCACCTGCACTGGTTCGGCTTTGATAGGAGGAACCGTGGCTACCCCATCGCATGCAGTTCCTGTTCCCTTGGGTGGTAGATGCAGCATAGTCAAAGTCTTCCCTGCTCCCTCATCAGTCCTGACCCATCTCAGGTCTGTGGTGAGATGACAAAGATCCTTAATGTTTGTCATCTTTAAGGCTAAAGGCACAAGCCCTGGAACTTCATAGAGTTGACTCAGGCACCCATCACAAACGTGCAGTAATTAGAATAATAGAGAAAAGCAAACCCATGCTGTCACTACTTAACCACTGATTCCTTTTAAATTGTATGTTTAGTAAAGTTCACTTTGTGGAGATCCTTCCTTGGATTGTGCCTGCGTGGTTGCAGCTCCAGTGGGTTGACAGCTGCAAAGGACCAGTTTGGGGGTTCTGAAAGATGAGCATGAACGTAAGATCATGGTATGAAAGGGAGAGTGCAGGAATGTGGCTCGGTGTTTGCTTGGGCATTCAGCATCTGAAGTGGTGTCATCTCACTTCTCCCTCCTGCCAAGTGTGCCCCTGGTCCTCTACTGGCCGTGAAGCCCATGGCCCAGCCAGGCTGCCCATTTACTCCTGGGGAGAGACTGCA